AAACATCCTACCCAACACCATGTGCCTAATCACTTGAGCCCCCATGTCTGCTGGACCTTCCCTCTCACTTCTTTTTTCTTCTGGATCCAATCAATGGCGCTGTTTCTTCTTTTAAAACAAATGAATGAATGAATGAACGAACAAACGATCAAGAACATAAACAAACTCCCCAAACCGTGTCAGTTGAACTTACCTGACTGGCCTCCAGAGTCATCTTGCACCTGTGTCTTACTTCTTGGCCACATGTCTTGGAACACCAGCCCTGGTGGCAGCTGGATTCTCTCCTGGGATGAATCTGCTGTATTGTAATCTATAACCCCTGGAAATGGCCTGCGCCTGCTCTCCCTCCTCACCCTGATGCCTGATACCTGATGCATGTAGGACAGGAACTATACCAACTGAGCGCTATTCCCAGCCTGATGTTCTTTTCTCACTTCTCACTTTCTGTTTCTAGCTGTGTTCTGTGTTCCTTGTATATAAAAAGGCTCCCAGGGACAGCTTTGACTTTTCTTGGTCATTAACCAAGATGAAGATAACAAACCGTTGCCTTTCTCTCATGACTTACAGCTTCAGCGTCGTTATCTGAAAGCTGCTCTGCCGATCTTTAAACACTCCTGTGAAGTATGAACCCCACCCAGCCTGTGAGTGTGTGCCACTGTGTCATCCGCTCCTGCACTTTCACTGCAAGCCCAAAAGGCCAGTGACACTGAAACTGCTTTTTACCCAGGCCACAGCGTTTTAGCATTAAAGCCAGCCCAGATATGTGCTGGCTCCCAATCTCTGTGGGGTTTGGACTGCAGATGCAGAGGCTCCTGTCTCTCCGTCTTCACAATCAGACATGGTATTGAGCATTCAGATGCCACAAACGCAGAGTCCCTTTTGTCCTAGAGCTACCAGAACTGGCCTCTGGCTTCTCTCATGCTCACAAACTGGTGAATAAAATGTTTATCGAGGGGCTGGAGAGATGGCTCAGTGGTTAAGAGCACTGACTGCTCTTTCAGAGGTCCTGAGTTCAAATCCCAGCAACCACATGGTGGCTTACAACCATCCATAATGAGATTCGATGCCCTCTTCTGGTGTGTCTGAAGACAGCTACAGTGTATTCATATATAATAAATAAATAAATCTTTAAAAAAAATGTTTATCGAGTGCCCTGGAAGTGCAAATACATAACTTTGCAATCTTCAATTCTGCCCCTCCCCCCAAATCTAAACCATTTACACACAACTGAACAGGCTGTTAAAGTAACTAATTGCTCATGTATGAAAATAACACAAAACATGGTACTTTTTAAAACATTTATATTTATATATATAAAATTAAATATATAATATATAGTGTGTTTGAGACTAAAAATATAGTACACAATATTTTTTTTAAAAAAAAAAGAAAAGAAAAAAAATGTCAGAATAGGAAAAGGTGTAAAGGACACACAGATACACATTGCTAAAAATCTATGATGGTTTGTCCTAACAAAAATACTTTTTTTTTTCTTTTAGTTGTCATCATGGATCCATTTATGAGGAGGATTTTGGTAGAGAATATTCAACTGGCATCAGAATGGAGATAGCAATCCCAGGAATGATTGGGGTTAACAGTTTGACCTGGGCACCTTGTTAAAAGTGGAGGCCTCGTGGGCCGTTTTTGCTAGGAAGCCTATGTATTTGATTGTATCAGCAAACTGAGTGCTCCCTCACCCCCAACCCCTCCAGTCCTGGTGTTCCCATGGGCAATAGACAGCTCCTGAAACCAACAGAGAGCCTGGGCACTAGTTTGCAAAGGCCAGTAGTTGTGAACATTAAAAACCGAAGATGGGGTACCAGGACTGGTAAGGGGAGTTCTGTGCAGACAAAATTATTACTTTTGTTAAGAGCAGGTTTGCACCAGGACTTCCTAGTATGGTCTCTGTCTTCTGTGCAACAATTATTTTCCTCTGGGAAAGGAGCCTGGGGCTCCCTCACAGTGATGCAGGAAAACTAGATGCTGTACCCTCCTCTCAAATCCATATAACAAGCCACAGGTCTCAGCCCTCTCTACTGGCCCACGGGTGGTGTCAGCAGCAAGCTGAGGAAGGTCAGCCAGCACTAGTCAAAGCGCACTGTCTTTAGGAGAGGAGAAAAAAGAAATCACAGGGAGAAGGGACTGCTGTGTTTAGGTGACAGCTTTAGAGTTCTTTTGTAACAGTCAATACATCCCAGTGGAGTCCTGAGGTCTGTGTCCCCAGGATTCTACCATCAGCACTGGGCTCAATGGGTGCAGAGCCTGGGCTCAGATTCCACAGAAATGAAATAGTAGAGAAAGCAGGTGTTTTGAGCCTGCAGTGGCCTTGGGAGGTCATGCAATTCACCCATAGGGACAGAACTGCTCACACAGCAGGATGAGGCAGTGACTAAGCCAGTAGACTTTTCATGTCCAAACACGGTCTTTGGCTTTAACAAGGGTTTCTATAAATCCCGATTACTTAACATTGCTATGTAGGGGGCAAGTGTATACAGGTCACCAACTTCCGTCTTAAGGAGCCCAGGAGCCATGGCCCCTGACAGAGCACAAGGGGGCAAGACATAGGCCGGTGCGCATTGTATCACCCAGAGTAGTGTTAGTTGAGCTCATCTTTTTCATTCTGACCCACATGTTTGTGAGGGCTGAGCACTGCCCCCATTCCTGCTAGCTTTTCTTTCTCTGTCCTGCTCCATGCATAGTCTGTAGTTAGACTTTGGCGGTGGCGGGGGAGGGGAGGGGATAGGGTGGGGACCAGGATTCAGCAAGCAGGCTGGGCTCTCTACAAAGGGCAAGGCTTATCCAGAACCACAAGAACTTTTGCATATGCAGAGTTTATGTCAAAACCACTATTCCCTTCTTCCCTCTACCAGCATCCCTTTCAGTCTACAGGAAGGGGTCAGCTGCTCTCTCTACTGGTTCCTGATTCAGGACTGCGGGGAATGTAGGATTCACCTTGCTTGGTCTTTAGGCCGGATGACTGTTCCTGAGGACCAAAGTGGAAGACAGCTTCCCTGTCTCCCCCAGTCTGTATGTGCTGCAGACTACATCCATAACTGAGCTCTACCATGGTCACAGCAGCCCACTGAATCTAAGAGGAGAACAACACTGATAGCTTCATTTCACTCACGGCTAGGGTGACGGACAAGATCAAGAAGTTGGTGGTAAAAGCTCCTCCTGACAGGCAATGCCTCCCTGCCCCAACCCTCACCGAGATTGTTTACTGTTCCTGAGGGATGGACAATCTCCCACCCCAGACAAGCACAGCCAACAGAGAATAGGTTTAGGCAAAGACCAGAAGATGGAAGCAAGGAAAGTAAGGAGGTCAGATCAGGGTTACTCAGCAAATGGCAGCTGCAGAATGGGATCCTGAATCTCTTGACTCTTGGTTTCTTATTCCTTCAACTAAAGCAATAACACCCAGGGTGCTTAGAGTCAAAGTACCGACATGCTGGAAGACTCTAGCTTCAGACGGAAGAGTGTAGTGATTAAGGGACTTTCAACTCCCCCGACAAGCAACACTGGTCATTCAGCAGGGCCCAACTCTGATTCTGATTGTGGAGTGTGAGTGGCAGGAGTCTGTCTCAGTTGCTGCTTCCTGTTCCTTGCATGGCGCTTGGCTCCCACAGTTTTCCTTATTGACACTCTTGTGTCCGTAGGAGGGGCCTACTACTTAAACCAGAGAGAAGTAAGAGAATCAAGCCAAACCCCAGACACGAGGATTACTTTAGGGAGTACTGCCGTTTAAAATGCCATTCTGTTTAGACTTCAGAAGTATTTGGATCACGCATGGCTTCAGGTGTCAGTGAAAATGAAAGCCTGCATGAATCCATATTCACAAGGACCTAACACTGCAAGCACACTGCCTCACTGAGCTCTCATGAAAGGGTTCTGCGAGTGGGAGTCTTCTGAACCCGGATACAGCTATGAGTCTGTCATTGCTGCAGGAAGGGCCCACTCTGTGCATACACTCACTGAGGAGGAGAGGAAGCAGCAGCTGCCTGCCAGGCTGGAAATGGAGTGCCTTGATTCCTGGATACTACCTGGTCCTTGTTGGAAAGGAGATAGCAGAGAATGTCACCCCACAGGCCCATCCAGAAGGTTAGTGAGGACCGTGCCTGATGAACATGTGACTCATTAAAGTAAACATGACTAATGAATGGTGACCAATGAGAAAAAGCAAGGAGCATTCTGGGAATACTCACTCCTATCATGCAGGCCTCAGCGGGGACATGGACAGTAGATTCCTATTGGGCAGTTGTTTTCTTGGGAAAGTGAAGCTGAGACAGGCGTGACAGACTCTCTTTGATCAGAAGGTGGTAGATGAGACGTGGTATGGAATGTGTGTGTGCTCATGTGTGCACGCTGTGTGAGGAAAGACAGCATGGCCCATGGAATTCAGTGCCTGTCCCGTTCTTCTGCACTAGGATATCCATCTAGGTCAGTAAGAATTTTCCTTCCCCACCATTTCCAGGCCCCCTTCCCCTCACATCCTCTCATTTGTCTCTCCTTGGATGCTAACACGGGACAAGCTGAAGCTCATACAGGGACATCATCACAAACCTGACACTCAAGGCACTGGAAATGGAAGAAGGAATCTGATTGGTTGGGGGTTGGTGGGGGGGGTGAGGAGGAGACAAAACCAAAATTTGTCTGGATAAAGCATCTACCACACCATCTACAAGGTAGTTTCTAGCTACAGTGAGTTAGACAGGGTAGGATAGTAGAGTCTGAGACTCAGGACACTGCTTAACTAACTCTGTTAGAATCCACCAGCAGGCAAGTCTCACCATTTGGATGTATACACTAGATTCAAAGTGCTTAGAGACTCAGATACAGTAAGACAAGCTGTTAGGAGTCTGGTGGGGAGCAGGTGCCCCTTTCCTTTCCACAGGGACTGTGTATAGTGGGGAAACCCCTACAGCTTTTCTTTCCAAATGAGGTTTTATTGCTTTTGAAAAATAGCCCCATGAAAAGTCGCCTCTGCCCTACCCAACTCTCCAAGGCTCAAGAGTTAACACCGAGAAGTGGGATGGATACTGTGAAAGAAGGAAGCTTGTGTGGCTCCCACTAGTGTTGGATCTGGAAACTGCCATGCACTACACGGTGGCCCCTTGCCTGTCAACTAGGACATGGTCCTGACCACTTCTTGCTCGCATCCAGGACACATCTGGCTGGTCCAGCACAAAGCCAAGAAGAAAGGAAGCAGTGCCCCTGGGGATTTCTGAAGCCCTCTTCACTCAGACAGACAGACACCATAGAGGCCAGGGTGACTGGCATTTTGACCCCAACTGACCAAGGGCTAGATTTGAACTCATGGTTCCATCTGTAATCCCCTGAGATGGGAAAAATGTACACAAGGTATAAAGAAACCAAGACCAGGACTGGTGGGCTGTCCCACGTGCCAGCTGCCTGCCCACCTCAGCCCACCTCAGCATATCTCCATGCCCACTTACGGGAAACCAGAGGAGCAGGACAGAAAGGAAATGATAAAATGTGCTCTTCTCCTCTCCCTTCTTCTCTCCCCTCCCCCAACCTCCCCTCTCCTATCCCCATGCTTGGGTCAGGAAGAACAAAGGTCAGAAGAGATATCCTCCTGAAGAAGAGGAAAGGGCAGGCCCGGGAGACTGGGGCATGCACAGAGCACCATCCTTGGGATGGGGTGTTACTGGGAGACCTGCTCCTTATCTGTGACGGCCAGGAGGAGAAAGGCTGAGTCCACGAAAGGAGCAATGAGCAATGTCCCTGAATGTCAGGGAACAGCTGGGAAGCCATCTCCTCTGCCCCGCAGAGATACCCCAGCCATATCCAGCCTCTACACGTGAGTCTGCATGCGCTGCTGGAATCGCTGGCCGTAGTCTGAGTGTTGAGAGGTGTAGGAGAATCGAGTGGCGGTGGCATACTTGCCAATAGGGTCATATGCTTCATAGGGGGTCCTCTCAAGGCCAGAGGGTGGGGCCTGGGGATAGCCTAGACGGTAGGTAGGATACCCAGCTGCCCCAGGAAAGGGGTGAGAGTTGAACTTCTCATAGTTCTCGTACGACAGCTGGCTGGTTGTATCGGTGCCACCTGGAGCAGAAGGGCCAGAGGGTGTAGGCTCTGTGCCATAGTCAGAGGCAGGGGCCCGGCTGTACGTATTGAGCTGGGCATAACCACTGGAGTGGGAGAGGCGGGATGATGGACGCCCATCAAAACGAGTAGGGCCAGGGGCTCGATAGTCAGCATATAGCACCGCCCTGGAGGATGGGCGATCTTCGTGGGCGCGCACATTGTAATAACCATTGGTGGGATCCTGAGGGCAATGAGAGAAAAGGATAAAAGTGAGAATGTCCCCCAGTGTAATAAGCTCTCAAGGGTCTTCTGCCCATGCCCACCCCAACCCACGCTTCTCTTCTCATCGGCACCACTCTGTACGCTGTTCCTTCTGCGGACCTCTTGACCACACCTCCCTGGCTGTCCTCACCTCCCCCTGCAGACGCTCCTAACCCATTCCCCAGCCAGTCCTTTTCCTCACCTTCATCTCATACTCTTCCCGGGTGTCAATGGTGTCACAGCGCAGGTCCTGCTTCAGATCCACATCATCCTTAAAGGACTAAAGAACAAGAGCCAGTGTCAGGAGACAGATGCTGTTTTTTAACTCACTTTACCGATGTGATGGTTTGCATATGCTCGACCCAGGGAGTGGCACCATTAGAAGGTGTGGCCCTGTTACAGTAGGTGTCGCCTTGTTGGAGTAGGTGTGTCACTGTGGGTGTGAGCTTTAAGACCCTCATCCTAGCTGCCTGGGAGCTAGTTTTCCACTAGCAGCCTTCAGATGAAGATGTAGAACTCTCAGTGTCCCCTGCACCATGCCTACCTGGATGCTGCCATGTTCCTGCCTTGATGATACTGGACTGAACCTCTGAACCTGTAAGCCAGCCCCAATTAAATATTATCTTTATAAGAGTTGCCTTGGTGATGGTGTCTGTTCCCAGTAGTAAAACCCTAACTAAGACAATTGATTCCATGCTCAGAGGTCACTTGCTAAAGGAGGCGCTGAGGTTGGGGCGGGCTTGTGTCTCACCATATAGGTTGAAGTAGGACACCAGAGACCTGTCTTCTAGTGTCAATTTTGTTGCTAGTGTGTAATATAATATCTTGAGCATAAACACTACTACTGTTGGGGAGCGCTGCCTCAGCTCAGTAATGAAGAAGTTGAATCAAAACTATCTACAGATTTTCCTCTGTGTGAGGGAAGGATGAGACAAAGGTTATTGGAGGGGAGGGTAGCTATGCATATGTATGTGAGAGTCTATATGAGTAAGTATGCATGAGGATACCAGTGTATATACAAGTGTGGGTGTGTCTATTCGTGAGCAGATTGGTACATAGGAATTGGGGTAACAGAAACAGGTTAAACTCACAAAGGAAGAAGAGGTAACAGAAGTTATTAATAACTGGTGGGACTGGGCATAGGACTATGAAGACCCTAGGCCATGTTGAAAGAAGCATTATCCTCACCGAGTAGATGGCCTTCATGACCCGAGTAGCTGTGGAAATGCTGGCGGTATCATCCTCCCGGTCAGAGTGCATTGTAAGTGGCTCCCGATTTACCGTCTCTACCTTGATGTCCAGCTTCCTCAACGTCACATCCTTTCGACCTGGAACAGGGAGATGTGGCTGGGGGCTTTCTACTGGTCTACACTGTTGACTTCTAGCCCCCACACCCTGGCATGACCTTGAAGGGTAAGGTTGAAGGGATGAAGGGTTTGTTGTGGCTGTACAGAGCCTGTACTCACTGCCTTTGCGACGTCGGTAGAGGAAGAACACTAAGGCAGCAAAAAAGAAGACGACCAGGATGCCGGCACCGATGGTGGCCCCAGCAATGATGCCCACAGGTAACACCTCTATAGACAGGAGAAGAAAGAATTGGAATGAGGACAGAACCACACAGGGATCTGAAGACTTGGGCTACAACACACTGGGACAACTCTGAATTGTGTACAAAGGTAAGTTTTGCCTGAGCTGGGCCGTGTTGACATCTAAGTCCCAGGCCACACTAGAGAAGAGCTGGGCTGAGTCTGGGTTGTAATCTGTGCTTTAGTTTAACCAGAGTTGATGTCAGCACAGCCAGCATTCCATCCCTGCCTTCAGTTTGCCTCAGAGCTTTCTCTTCCTCTACTTGGCATACCTACCCATAAGCTTGGTCCCTCCTTCATGAGCAGGGCTGTCTTCAAACTCCAATCTGTGATCTCTGTTCCAATCTCCATACCCATATTTCTTGCCTGCAAAGCTGTGTCTGTTCTATCTTCACTGCCCACCAGTGACCCAACACTCCTCTCTAGTGTCCCCTCTTCCCTTAGCTGAGAAGATACCCAAGAATTCTCCCTTTGGCCCTCTCTTTCTGGAATTCCTAGTTGGATCCAGACTCTGGTTACAGATCTTCCCCTCTGAGATCTTTCCTAGCTGAGCCCCCACATTATCCTTCTCTGTTCCCCACATCCACCCTGTACCATTAACTAAACAGGAACTGTTAGCTTTTCCAGACATTCCCCCGGGGTCCTCCAGTTTCTCCATATCTCCCTTTTCAATAACTAGTTCTCAAAAACAAACAACTGCTATTTTTCCTTCATCAAGCATCTGTCAAAGGCTAGGTACCTCTTTCTCCTTGTCAAAGGTGCCCAGAGGGAATACACCTCTTCTATAAAACCAAGGATGCTTGAAGGGTAGGGGAACCCCTGGACTTTACAAATATCCTGTTCAATCCTCTCAATAACTCAGTGACATAGCTGTGTTAATCTGTTGCATATACCATCAGATTTTTCTCAGTCTGGATTCTTTTGTTTCTACTACACAAGTTCCTTCACTAAGAGCAAAGTTTCTTGTGAGTGAGGATGAAGTTCTCCTGTTCATGACTGCAACCCTTCCTTCAAAGGTCAACACATAAAGATGTTCAAGGAACATTTACATAGTAAATTAATTGCAAACCACTAAAGTTGGCTTCTGGCAGAGGGGCCCAAGAGAGAGTTCTCTTGCTTTAAACCTTGCTATAGAAAGAGAAGATGGAACTTTAGGCTATCTTCAGGCTATCTAATGGGCAGTCAGCATGGCTGTCCAGGGTATCCTGGGCAGGCAACATGGCTGACCTCGCTCTTCCAGCTGGATGATGGCTGTGCCTGGTCCAAAGCTGTTCCAGGCAGTGCAGTTGTAGTGGGTCTGGAAGTCGGCCTCCATGACATTATTGATGGTGAGAGTGGACAGCACACCGTTGCCTGAGTTCGTCCTCTCCACAGTGTATCGCTCCAGGGTCCCCACCTCTAGGAAGTTCTCCTTCCATGCCCATGCCTGGGGTGGGGAAGACAAGATGGATGTAAGAAAAGGACATGTGGAAGAAGTACATACCCCAAGGATACCCAATCACCCAGCACATGTGTGGTCCTCAGGCCCTACATACCTTCACCCTGAAATAACCCGAGTCATACCAACTACCACAAATTCTTGACACTGAACTTCTGCTTCAGAAGTTATGGTTCTCACACAATAGGCATCAGATTTATCTAGAGAGACTCTAAAACCTGCAACCTTGAGGTTTATGTACTACGTATGAATGGAGCAGAGAGGCCCAGGAATTAGCTTCTGCCATGGTCCCATGCTCTAAGTGAGACACTGGGTGGTATTTTGTGATATGGAGGCAGCTGAGCTAATGAGCCAGTCCTCGGATCTTGGATGTTGTTGGGAAGTCTGGATTGGGACTTGAGATCCCTGGGCTCCATTTCATATACCTCCCACTCCAGAGCAGCCATGTGGCCATGCTTTCCCCCTCCAGGCCTTGTTTTTCTCATCTCTGAAATGGCAGATTCTGGCCATTATGGGGCAATGCTCAGCATCATGATTCTAACTGCATACAAGTCTATCTTACCAGTATTACCATTAATCAAGAAACCTGCTTGGCTCTCTGGAGATGCATCTGCCTGCTCTTAATTATGAGTAAGGGAATCAAGAGGCATATCCCCCAGGCCTTCCATCCCTGCCCTCCCAGCTGAGGCAGTCCTAACAGTGTATTCTCATGGCATAAGGGAGGCTAAGGAAGAGGAGCAGCTGAATGCTGGCTCCTTTCCAGGGATCAGTCCTCTCAGCTCTAGGAGGCAAGCCTCCTGGGAGCCAAACCGTCTTCTGCCTAGGCAGCTGTGGTAATGAAGTATCCCTGGGCAGCCCTGGAGTTAGCCAAATGGTCATTAAATGTGATGAGGGTTTTGATGGTTAGTGGCCACAGGAGGAATTAATTGTTTATGGTATAGAGGAGAGGAGAAAGGAATGAGGGATGGTCAGGGATTGTAGGAGGAAGGCGGGAGAAACAGAAGAAGAGTGGGACATGTGGGAGGGAGAACTGAGGGGAGGAAGGGAGGGTAGACTGATGGAAGGAGAGGGGGGTACAAAGAAAGACTGGGAGGTATTAGCAAGGTATGACGAGGGAGAGGAAGGACCTTTGCAAGGAGGAAGCCTACATCACTTGACTCAAAGGAACTCTACTAGGCTCGTTCTCTCTCTCTCTCTCTCTCTCTCTCTCTCTCTCTCTCTCTCTTTTTGAGACAGGGTTTCTCTGTTGTAACCCTGGCTGTTCTGAAACTCACTCTGTAGACCAGGCTGGCCTCGAACGCATAGAAATCCACCTACCTCTGACTAGAGAGTGCTTAGATTAAAGGCGTGCGCCACCACCGGCCAGCCCTCTACTAGGTTCCTCACAACTGCAGCTGTAATGACTTTTACCCAGGGAGATGGCCTCCCCTTCGCAGATGAGAAACTGAGGTTCAAACCACTAATCTGCTCAGCATCACACAAGTAAGGGAGGGGGTCGGATTTGAAAAGTTGAAATGATACAGACACTAAAAAGAGCAGGAGAGGGTGGGGGGAAATGAGGCTGGGCAGGTGGGGCTGCCTGTCAAAGCCAACCCCGCACTCACGATTCGATCCGGAGGTGGGGTACTCCCGATAAAGCACTCCACCTTACCGCCATCACCTCTCACGGCAAACTGCACCGCCTCGCTGGAGATGATAGGAGGTCCTACAGGCAGGAAGACCCAGTCAGGCCAGTCAGATCTCAGGCCAACAGCTTCAGTGTGTGTTGGACAGGTCTGGCCCCCTTAGGGCACTCACCGTTCACATAAAGTGGTACCTCCCGCTCAGCCACTCCAATTCGAGGCACGATGGCCCGGCAGGTATAGATGCCAGCATCTGCCTGGGTCACTGACTTCAGCAACAGTTGATGGCTGTTACTCAGGACCTGGGCAGAGAGATTAGCCTCGGGTGGGGAGCCAGGAAGCCTGGGCCCCTGGGTCGGTGGGTCCCCCGCATTGGAGGCATGGGAAAGAAAGCATGGAGGGCCACAAGTGAATTCCCAGAAGGTAAATGAGTTCTTGAGTCTGGCTAAGTCTTCCCTAAGACTCTAAGCAGGCCGGCAATACAAGAGTGTACAGGCGACAGCTATGATAGCTGTAGAAGGATAGAGTCCTCTCTGATGATTCCTTCCCATGCTAAACCAGGTAAGCCAGTTTATTCTTAAACTTCCTTTCATAATTCTGGCCCTAACTGTCCACTAGGAGTCGTTAGAACTGTGTACTTCAGCTTTCTTTGCCAGATTCCCTACCCGTCTCCACATCACTAATGCCCTAGATCTGGCGACCACAGCAGCACCACCTGCTCCCTTCACCCACTTCACCCCAAGTTCTAGTCCAAGGAGAAGAAGTATGGCTGACTGCAAGTATCCTCTTCTCTCCCAAACCCCAAGATCTAGAAATGTTCCAGTTTTGATGTGAAAGACCAATCCCAATCCCTCCCTTTTTCTTCACTGTGCCAAGAAGTCTGCGCCCTCCTCCCACCCGCAGCACTCAGAATAGGAAGGGAGAGGTTTACCATGTTTGAGTCCTTCTTGGTCCAGGTGAGGGTGAGGGGGGGATTCCCAACCCAGACACAGGTGAGGGTCACATCAGATCCAATGTCTGTGGTGGTGGGCTTTGGGTAAACTACAATCCGGGGGGCAACTGACAGAGAGAGAGGTGGCTGGTCAGAGTCTCAGGCTCCTGAGAGTCGTCAGCTCTGACTGGCTGTCTTTCTTCTTAACCCTACCTCCCATGTTTACCCCTGTCTAGTAGGTGGAGTTTTCCTCCCCTGTACCCAAGGACCTTTGAAGGACCCTGCTCTCTGCCCCTCCCCTGCTGCCCTTCCAGCTACTCACAGTGAACATTCACTAAAGTGCTGACATTGGTGCTCCCGACTTTGTTATAAACCTCACAAGACACAGGCTCCGTGAAGAAGGAATAATCAACGTTTGTCTCATAGCGACTTTCATGGGCGTCTTCAATCAAGAACCCCCCTTTGGCCCACCTAGAGGATGAGGCAGCATAGATGTGAGATCAGAACCTGGGACTCTCTCAGCTATATCCAGGGACACTGGCCTCCTTCGTAGCCACCCCCTCCCACTACCCCAGTCCCAGAGGCCTCTCCATTCATCATGTGGATAGCACTCCCAAACCCTGACCCTCTCACCTGTAGCCCAAGATCTCTGGGTTGGCTGTGGCCTGGCATGTAAAGATGACACGCTCGCCCTCCAGCACTGTCTGGGGCTCAATAGACAGAGTCACTGTAGGAGGGTCTGCAAAGTACGGGATAAGGAGGTCAGGGTCGTTTCTGTCCCCGAGTTTCTCTCTTTCCCTCTGTAACATGTATATTCATACCACTCTAATGTAAAATGAGAATTCCAGTTTACAAAATATCAGCTATCACCCCCTACCTTTCTACAGAGTCTTCTCCGATAGCTCAGACCAAGAATGATAGTGAAGGAAATTACCCAATGGATGTAATGACCTAATATAGCCACTAGGTGGCAGTGTGGGTTAGCTTAGTTCACTGTAAAGGGCTAGAGTAAGAGCATCCCTGACTGGGAGAAATGCATGGATGGACACTTGCCAGGGGAGCACACTTTAGCCATGCTAGATGCTCCTGTGCCATAAAGTCTTTAATGCTCACAACTCCAGTAAGCAGATACACTACTATACCCAATGCTCCACTTACCAATCATTATTGCCTATGGCTCAAACCAGGATGTAAGAGGGAGTGTTGGTCCTGGGCCCCTAGGATTCTGTACTTCTAAAGCTGCCTATGTCCCCACTTCATGTAGCCTACCAAATGCCCTACTCACGGTGCACATCCAGTTCAATGGACGTCTCCTTGCCATTGGGGATGGCCTCATTCACGCTGCGACAGGTGAACACACGGCCGATGTCTAGGTCTGTGGGCTGAATGAGCAGTTGGCTGACTGTGGTCTCCCTTTTCCCGTCCTTCAGCAGCTCCTGGGGAAGCGGGGAGACGGAGTCAAGGCTAAAAGCCCCTCCTGCTCTCAGAGAAACCAAAGGGTGGACCTTCAAAACGCAGCTCCCGCCCTATGCCAACTTCACGTACTGTTAAGTAGTTGGGTATTTTTAAAAGCTTTCTGCAATTTACAGAAAAATAGAACAGAAAGATAGTTTCTGCTCTCTACTACAGCTTCCCCCACCCCGTTATTATATCTTATAAGAGTATGGAAATCGTAATATAACAGATACTCTAATATTGATATCTTAATAATAACGGAAGTCTATGGCACACATGATCACCCACTCTGTAGTATCGTTTTCTCTGTGTATTCCTGGAATTCTCTAAGGCCACAGTGAGGGTCTCCTCTTCTAGAAAGCCTTCTCAGGCCTGTCCGGACCTCTGTGCTCTCTCCTGCCTGAACCACTTACACTGAGAGTGTCTTACACTTGGTCCTGGGTACTCTGTGTTTCAGTGGTGTCTCTAAAGTCCTAGAGCACAGAGACAGAGTCAACAGCTCAGAAGCTTACTGGCTCAGTGACACTGCAGTCATTTTCCATATTGTCACCCACCTAAGGAAACCACACTGTGAACAAGAGTAAGGCCTCTCATTCAAACAGCCGTGCATGCATCTCTAGGGGACCACAGCAGCACCTAACTGATGCAAAACACCATGTAGCTCCCCACCAAGAGAAAACAAAACAAAACAAAAAAACAGTTTTTTTATGGTTAAAAAAAAAGATATTGGGCCTCATTGGAGTCAATCATTTATGAAATGGTCAGAAGGAAGATATTTGGTCAAGGCTGTGGAGGTCACTGTGAACTGAAGCTGGGGCCCAAGCTCTCCATCCTCACCCTCTAGGAACACAGGTGGGCAGACTCTCTCCCCACTGGGAATGCCTCTCAGGGCCCAGCCCAGGGCCTCTGCCGTCAGTTTTGGCATGTGACTCTGGGTGAGTGATGACATAACATCTTTCACCTGTCACTCCTTCCCACCCGAGAATGCGCACATAACCCTGGCTTCTGCAGCCTTTCGATGTGCTGAGGGAAGAGGGTAAAGGATCAACAGTGCAGCCAGACTCCGGGACAGAATGCCAACCTCGCTGCTTGCTCTCTGAGTGACTTCGGGCTAGGCCTTTGACCTCTCTGACCATTAATTTCCTCCTTTGTAAGTTGGAAGCATCACTTACTTTATGGGACTCTTCTGAGGCTTAAGAGAAATTGCCCATAAAGTGTTTACCATGCATAGTACCTAGCATACAGGAAGTACTTATGGAATGGCACAGTGAACCTGGAAGTCCATTTATCTTCTCTGGGCCTCAGTCTTCACAACTGTATGATAAAAGAGGTGGGTCAGATAGCTTAAAGGGTTTTATCACATCTGTCCCTGTATGAAGTCAGACAGATCTCTTTGGGAAAAGAGAGATAACATGGAGCTGGGTCTAAGAGGCGCCAGAGGAGCAGACAGGTTCTCACCGTGCTCGTCACAGCCCCTTCCTGCTGCGTCCCATCCCGGAACCAAATGATGCTTGCAGCAGGCTTGGCATTAAATGCTCGGCATGTGAGGTTGTAGGGGGTGCCTGCTTGCAGCAGAATCACAGGGCCCCCATCAATCCTTGTGTCCTCTGGAGGAACTGGAGGGAAGAGGAGAAGAAAATCAGCTCAGGATGCAGCTAACTGTGCCCCCCGCCATGGAGGTGTCCTTTCATCGGCTTGTGTCCCCTTCCGCAGGGCAATGCCACCCGAGCCCAACTTACAATCATCATACACAGTGCGCACAGGAGGCGTCACCCAAAGGCGGCAGCCTGAGCCTGCATGCTTTCTCAGCTTGTGGCTACTCTCTCACAGCGGTTCCTGTACAGTCTGCTACTATGCTCACCACTGTTGCTCAAGGATAGTATAGAGGGCTATCTCAAGGTCTTGAGTTCAGATCACTCCCTGGGGAAGGAAGGGTACCCTTACCTCTAGCCCCTTCATCTGCCTGGAATGGCTGGATGGTCAACTCTATCCACTCCACCTGTGGCAGGTTATTTCTCCACAGCAGTTAAGGATGTGCTGTGCTCCTGCTCAAACACCTCCAGAGGCTGCAACTGCCTGTAGCATTCTCACGAAGCATCAGCCTCCTGTTTTAGGGTCTTCCAGCCACGCCCTGCAGACCCTTACCTCCTCACTTTGCTTCTGCTGTTTTCGGCCATGGGGCATGCCCTCTCTGAGCTGCTGTTAACACCCTGGCCAAATCCTGGGTGATGCAGAAAGCTTAAAGCGTCCACCTGCAGCAGTACTGAGTGTTAGCTGCCCAGCAGCTACCATTGGTGGTTGTCTCCCCTACTTCAGTCCCCTTGGACAAGCAGGTCCAGGTCTTACTGACATTTAAAAGAATCTCCGCTGCCTAATACATGACTAAAACAGGCCTTCGCTATGTGCTTAAGGAACTGAGTTGGCTATACATTTGATTTTAAGAAATAAGGTGCCTTTTCTTATGCCACGGCCACAGGCTTCTAAATGTTAAGGTGAGCCAAATCCTGTGTTTCCCAAGGCCAAGAGTCCTAAAGTTCCCTTAAGACAAGGGTTCTTCTTTTTTAAAATAAAATATTTATTTATTCATTTATTTAATTAATTAGAGACAGAGACTCATTATGTAGTTCAGGCCTGCACTGAATTCATCTTGTTTTTTTTTTTTTTTTTCTGAGAATAACAAAAATAGGGAGATTGAGAGAAAACTTCTAGAAGAGACCCTTGAAGGGAGATCTTGGGAGGTCCACGAGGCTGGAGGCAGACAGGGCTGTCCCGGCGTGGGTGAAATGAAGGTTTCTGCGCTGCAGGCGCAGTTGCTGACACAGCTTTCTGTTCAATTTGTACATGTGGAGTGGCAGAGTGGAGAAGAGGTGGAATTTAGATCAGTGCCCTTCAGATCCTGGCCCCTCCCTTTACTGTCACATGGTCTTGGTTGAGCCCCTAAAGGCACTGAGCCTGTTTCTCCCTCAGAGCCCTAACAAAGTCCCCTCACTGAGGCAGTGTGAGGTCAGTGAGGTCTGCACATAGAGTGTAGCATCCAGGGTACTCGTGGTGTATAAACAGAGCTGCGTTTACTAGGACAGCTAATTATTCCCTCAGTCCTGGCTCTTTCCCTCATCTCTGCTCCCTGGTATAAACAACTCTGGTGACAGGAGCAGGGCTATGGACAGAAGAGGGAGAAACTTGAAAAGTGGAGAAATGGGAAGGCTCTCCTGGTCTGCCTGGCTCTCTACAGATGCACCTTCCTTCCTCACTCATGAACTGCATGCCTATCTACCCAGAGACATTGGGTTCTTGCTACAAAGAGAGCAAGACAAAGCGTTTCCTCCTACTGGGCCTTCTGCCCTTGCCATGTTTCTTTTCCCTCCACTCAAGCAAAGACCATCTGTCACCTCCGTCACCAACCCACATTTCTCTACAATTTCTCAAGGTCTTTGAAGTCAACTGTCAGTTGTAAACTGGAAGCCAATTGACAATAATTTCTACCATTTACCCAGAGATTAACTCTTGTTTGCTGAAGTACCTTGTACATATGACTTTATTTAACCCTTATCATAAAATACTACATCTCAGGAAGGAAGGAAGGAAGGAAGGAAGGAAGGAAGGAAGGAAGGAAGGAAGGAAGGAAGGAAGACTGATAGCATTATAGCATGTATTACCATGCCAGAGAGAGAATCCCTGTCCAATGGTCTTCTTGAGGGTCACAGCACAAAAGTGGCCAAGGCATAACTTGAACCCAGGGTTTGGGATTCCCAGCAGCCTAGAACATTTTTTGTTGCTAGGAGTTGTCCTCACATCCCCGCACCCCCAAATAGGAAGGGAGTTGTATACAAACTCTTCTTAGCTCCTCTCTCCTTTCTCCCCACTGCAATGACCTCATGTTGGAGGGAAGGCAAGGATGAGAAGTGGAGATCAGAGGAAAGAGAAAGGGACAGAGAGACTCAATACAAAAGGGAAGAGAGGCTCTCAGACAGAAGGGAGAGAGAGAGAGAGAGAGAGAGAGAGAGAGAGAGAGAGAGAGAGAGAGAGAG